TAATGAAAAACAGTAAAGAAAAGAGATAAAGAAAGCTTCTCTATTGAAGAACTCGGACTTGAACAATCTTCTACAAAAATCTCATAAAAACAGCTAAAGGAAAAGGGTTTCTGTAAAGTATGAAGGGTTGTGTCTAAAAACGACCTAAATGACATGTATTTATAGTCTCCAACACTCCATGGTCTCTAGGGTTCCGGAATTGAGGCTGAGAATGACTTTGGACTTCAGATAAGTGAGCTTTAACTCGGAGATTGATTGCCGCGGTCGGGAGTGTTGTGACCGCGGCAATTGGCTTGTTGGCCGCGGTCGGGAAGCTTCTGACCGCGGCAAATAGCTTGTTGGCCGCGCTCGCGTGAGTTGCTGACCGACTTCGAGTGGCTCCGGGGCTAATGGAATATCTTGAGATCCAACCGTTGAAAAGTCTCCAAACCAAGTGCATTTGAAAGCTGGTTGATTCTTCTATAAGTTGTCCAATTTTGAGGGTGATCAGATGGTGAGAAGGTCTTCGTATCTCCATAAGAGTTCTGACGGTCTGCTTTATCCAAAAGAGTCTTTTTGTTCCATTTTGTGCCTCTTTATCCCAAATTACCTGAAAAATCTTTTAAAATCCGGAAACATAGAAATCCTTTGAAAACCTTTGAAAATGGAGTAAAAACACCTGTAAAAGATATTAAAATGATCCATAAAAATGGTCAAAATCCGGTGTTATCAATAAGCATCGACGTAACCTGTCACGAGCTGAATGTGGATCCGACCTTTAAGCCAGTCAAGCAGAAAAGAAGGAAGCTCGGCCCCGAACGAGCTAAAGCAGTTAACGACGAAGTTGAGAGGTTACTCAAAGTAGGATTAATCGCCGAGGCCAAATATCGGGACTAGCTCGCAAATCCGGTGGCCGTGAAGAAGAAGAACGGCATTCATAACTGATCGCGGGATATACTGCTACAAAATCATGCCGTTCGGGCTCAAGAACGCAGGAGCAACGTATCAACGGCTCGTCAATAAAATGTTCGCGGCTCAGCTCGGAAAAACCATGGAAGTGTACATCGACAACATGTTAGTCAAATCACTTAAGGAGGAAGACCATGTCGCGCATCTACGGGAGTGCTTCGAGCAATTGAACAAGCACAACATGAAACTAAACCCGGCGAAGTGCAGATTTGCGGTCACCTCGGGAGAATTCCTCGGCTATCTGGTAACTCACCGAGGCATATAAGCAAACCCCAAGCAGATCAGGGCATTAATTAAGATGCCCTCTCCAAGGACAAAGCGCGAAGTGCAAAGGCTCACAGGAAGAGTCGCCGCGCTAAACAGGTTTATATCCCGCTCCACAGACAACTGCCTGCCCTTCTACGATACCCTCCGAGGAAACAAGAAATTTGAGTGGGACGAGCGATGCGAAGCAGCTTTCCAGGAATTGAAGAATTATCTGGCGAGTCCACCGATCTTAGCAAAACCAGTCGAAGGAGAGCCGCTCTTCCTCTACATTGCAGTGTCTGCTACAGCTGTAAGCGGAGTGCTTATCAGAGAAGAACGATCCGAGCAAAAACCCATTTTCTACATTAGCCAGACACTGACCGACGCCAAGACCCGCTACCCCCAGATCAAGAAGGTCGACCTAGCCGTCGTAGTCTCGGCTCGCAAACTGCGCCCGTATTTTCAATCACATTCGATTGTTGTGCTCGCTACACTTCCGCTGCGCTCGATCCTACACAGCCCAAGCCAATCCGGTCGGCTCGCCAAGTGGGCCATAGAGCTGAGCGAATACGACATCGAGTATCGGAACAGGTCGTCTGCAAAGTCACAGGTGCTCGCAGATTTTCTCATTGAACTTCCAGCCGAAGCAACAAACGAGCCGACTCTAGACGAAGTATGGACGCTGCACGTCGATGACTCGTCGTCTAAACACGGCTCGAGAATAGGAATCCGTCTCACCTCTCCCACCAGAGAAATATTGGAGCAGTCTTTTCGCCTGAACTTCCACGCCTCGAACAACAAAGCAGAATATGAAGCACTGATCGCGGGCATACGACTAGCGCAGGGAATCGGAGTTCGAAAGATAAGAACCTTTTGCGATTCACAGCTCGTAGCATGTAAATTCAACGGAGAATACAAGGCGAAGGATAGACGAATGGGAGCTTACCTCAAGGTGGTCCGAGAGTTGGTGCAAAATTTCGACGAGTTCGAACTCACGCGAATTCCCCGAGGAGAAAACACCTCGGCCGATGCCTTGGCAGCACTCGCTTCGACCTCACACCCGGACCTCCAACGGACGATCTCAGTCGAATTCATCGAACGTCCTAGCATCGAAGAGGTAGAAGGAGTTCGGCTGATAAATCCTCCTCAACAAGAACCAGAGGACGACGAAGCCATTCCTATGGATGAAGCGCCTCACCAGCCGAGCCGGAGTACGGCTGCGAAAAAGAATGGCTCTGAGCTATCCGAGTGTATATTGCCGATGGAGAGGTGCCAACCGACAAATGGGAAGCCCGCAAACTAAAAGCTCAGGCCGCGCGGTATGTCTTCGTTGATGGGAGGTGTTTAAATGGAGATTTTCAGGGCCTCTCATGACATGCGTCGAAGGACTGGAGGCAAGAAAGATCATGGAGGAAGTGCACAGCGGCGCGTGCGGGAACCATTCTAGCGGAAGGTCGCTCGCTATCAAGATAAAACGGCACGTTTACTTCTGGCCTACGATGGTCAAGGACTGCGAAAAATTTACGGCGAAATGCGAGAAGTGTCAGCGGCACGCTCCAACAATTCATCAACTTACCGAGTTGCTCTCGTCAATTTCGTCACCTTATCCGTTCATGAGATGGTCGATGGACATCGTCGGACCTCTACATTGCTCAAAGCAGAAGCGTTTTCTGCTCGTCCTCACGGATTACTTCTCCAAGTGGGTCGAAGCCGATTCCTACGCAAGCATAAAGGATGTTCAAGTCGAACACTTCGTCTGGAAAAATATCATCTGCAGACACGGGGTCCCCTACGAGATAGTCACCGACAACGGATCCCAGTTCATCTCAACACGCTTTGAAGCCTTCTGCGAGAAGTGGAAAATCCGTCTAAGCAAATCTACGCCAAGATACCCTCAAGGGAACGAGCAAGCCAAAGCAGCCAACAAGACGATCCTCGACGGTCTGAAAAAGAGGCTCGACACCAAAAAAGGACGGTGGGCAGACGAACTCGAAGGAGTCCTTTGGTCTCATCGGACAACTCCGCGCCGAGCCACCCGGGGAAACTCCATTCGCCTTGGTCTACGGAACAGAGTGCGTAATCCCCTCCGAGGTGGATTTCCCAGGTATTCGACGAAGACTTCTACCAGGACAGGAGGGCTTGGACCACTTAATGATGCTAGATGAGCTCGATCTAATCAACAAAATGCGCGACCAAGCCTTAATCCGAATCCAGAACTATCAACAAGCAACGGCGAGATACTACAACAAAAACGTTCGTAGTCGAAGATTCAAAGAAGGGGAGCTCGTCCTCCGAAAGGTCTTCCAAAACACTACCGAGAAGAATGCAGGAAAGCTCGGGGCAAACTGGGAAGGCCCTTACAAGATTACAAAAGTAATTCGCCCAGGAGTCTATGAACTCGGGACACTAGCTGACGAAGCGATTCCAAGATCATGGAACGCAATGCATCTAAAGAAGTATTATCACTAAAACCACAGCACGGTCAACATGAACTACGGGACGGCTTGATCCCTGCAAAGGGTACGTAGGCAGCCCGTTCTCGGACGGGTTCAGCTGTCCCCCCTCCTAAAAAGGGGGGGGGAGTGGGTACGTATACACATACCTCCTTTAACTCTACAATTTCAGCTTGCTCACTTAGGAACATCGCCACTTCGGCCCGTTTTCAGTGGGAGTTTTAAATCATCTACTTATTTCATGTTTACTTCGGATTTCTAGTTCGTTCATTATCGCTTCGGTTAGTTTCTCATTCTTTCTAAATCAGCAACTTATTTTAACAAGCTCGGATTTTTAAATTCTTCATTCACCTCGGCAAGTAATTATACTACTTCGACATGGTATCATGACCTGATTGCCTCGGACCTTTAGTGGTCCTCAGTTTCAGTTCAGCAACTAAGCCTCCGAATGCCTCGTCTCGTTGCTGGCCACAACGGGGCAACAAATACAAAGTTCTCTAAACGGACTATTACCACCTTTCCTAGGACGAGGGTGCAAGTTACATCCTCTATGGATAAAAGTTAAAGCGCGTTATACAAATATCAGACCAAAAACGTATCGGTCGCCAAAGTTCATTATCGCACACAAGATTATAAGTCGAGACTACATCGTTTTCTCTAAAACCGAAGTGAACTCTTGAAACCCGGCAAGACACACTCATCCTCTCGGAAACACCTGTCTATAGTCAAATTCAACAAGACCACCAGATCATCCTCAGTTAACAAAAACGAAACGCCTCGTCGTTTACACGGCTCGGCACCATGCAAAGTGAAGACGCCTCGTCGTTAAACACGGCTCGGCATTGCCAACAAAAGTTGCCTTGATGTTGTCATTTAAAAACTTTCCAGCGTCACCTAAAACAAAAGATACTCCACAAAACTAACTCCAAGCTCGGGATTAAGAACCCAAAAGAGATCCTTAAACAACTCACCCCTTAGCCCGTATTTCTATCAATTTCGAAAAGTTTGGCTAAGGAAGCAATCAAAATCATTCTCGACACAACAGTTTTCATCCTTGACAATTTTTTCTAAGCCAACAGTTTTCGTAAACATTTTCACGGATCGTTAGAGACAAGTGAATCCGAAAACGGCTAAGGAAAATAAAATATATCCATAAAGCAAAAATAAAAGTCAAATGGATAAAGCCATCCAGGCACCGATTACATAACAAAGTTCGAAAAATGAATCATCAAAAAACCTAAGTACAAAAAAAGAACATATGCAATAAAGGGTGAGGGAAAGCAGATAGTATCAGGCCGCGGACTGCGTCTCGCGCTCGGCAAGGAGGTTCGAGAGGGCCGGTATCCCCGCGTTTCATCCGGTCGGATCAACGACACCCAGGTTGGCCGCTGTCTCTTCAAGCGGCTCGTTGCCAATGCTGGTGTCTACCGAGTCCGGCGATACGGGAGAGAAAACCAGTTCGCCTCGGATCTCGGAAGCAATACGCTCGTACACCTCGTCGTCGGTATATTCACTCTCCCAGCTTTTCAGCTTCGCGTCCTCGTCATCAAGCGTTGGGGCGTCCGGCTTCTTCAGGTCGGCAATCATCGCAAGATTGCCTTTGATCTGCCCCAGATCGTTCTCGTCATTTTTGGCCTTCTCGAGCTTGGCCAAACCCTCCTCCACCTTGGCGAGGCGTTCCTGAAACTTAGTCGTAAGCTCTCGCCTCGCCTCCTTTTTCGCCCGCTTGACCTTGGCATCGAACAAGGCGTCCTTGGCTTCAATACGCCTCTTAAGCATCTCCACCTCGGCGCTTTTAGCTCTCCTCGCCTCCTCGAGGCGAATGACTGAGGCGGAGACCTTGTCAACATTGGCGCGCAAAACAATCTTCTCCTCTTCCAGCCTGGACGCCCTGGCCATCGCCTCGTCCAGTTTCCCATTTGCTGCCGCGGCTTCGTTCTGAGCCTCTTCCAGCTTCACCTTTGACGCCGCGGTCTCATTTCGGGCCTCGTCCAAGTGACGTTCGACCTTAGACAGGTCCGCCTCGTACTCGACCATCAGGTCGTTAATGGCCACTACAAACTGCAAAGAACAAACTCGCGTTAAACACTTAGTAAAATTCGAGAAAATAAAGGAAAGCAAATAGAACGTACCTTGGTACCGCGCTGTGCCATCGCGTCGTACGACCTCGGTCTCCTCAGCTTCTCCGGAGGAGGAAGACGCGTGTTCGCGTTATTTACACGCGAGAACATAACGGCAGAGGCGTCGGGGTCGTCGACGACCAACTTGCGTGCAGCGGAGTCTCTGGGCGTCGGCTTCCGCCTCTTCTTGGACGGCTCGTCCTTCTGAACAGCAACGCCCTTCACCTTGTCAGCGGCCGAACGTTTTCGGCTGGGGTCATGTTTCTGAACAACTGAAGTCGGGGGCCTCGTCGACTTCGGGAGGGCCAAAATGGCAGAGTTCGAAGGGGTTTTGCTCCGCACCGCCGAATCATCCCCGGACGCCTTGGGAATAATTTCGCACGGTTCCACCTCGGGCACTGCATCTTTCTCGGCCGCCTCGGCAGGGTTTGCCTCTGCGGCTCGGACCGTTTCGTCTCCTTCCCGGCTCGGCAGGTCGGGTTGAGGGATGGCCTCGGTCTACGCTTGAACCGCCTCGGTCTGCGCTTGAGCCGCCTCGGCAGCTCGTCTCGCGGCCTCTTCTTCTTCACGCCTCTTCCTATCTCTCAGAGTGATTATCACCATTTTTTCTCGTGTATCTCTTGAGGAGCTGGAAGATGAAGAGCTGACAGGGACTCCGGCAAGGATAGCTCGGACTTTCTCTACTCTCTCGAGGGTGAAATTCTTCCTCCAATTGACCTTCCGAGCCGAAAGAGAATCTCGAACAACAAAGAGGTCGTCGGGAATCGGGGGAAGAATGTTCCGAACTGCAAAACAAAGCAAAAAAAGAAAGGAAAAATTCAGTAAGGGAAAAGGATACCAAAAAACAGTTCCGAGCCGAGGCAAAGCTTCGGGTCGGCTACCAAGTGGTCCCCAAGCGGTCTTGGTTCTTTGAACGTAATCCTCGCCGACCGACGCCTCGTTCACCAAGACGTAGAAGAAGCGTTCAGTCCAAAACTGATCCTTGCTGGGAAAACCGCCTATGATCCGTCGCTTCGCCTTGTTGGAAATATAGAATCTATTTCCTTTCGGAGCTTTCCTGATTTCCGCAGGTGATTCAGCTCGATATCAAGCCCGCATTCAAAGCTTCGAACTAAGATGCCAATCATATGCCGTAATCCCCTCGGCATGATTTGCCCAATCGAGATCCCGTGTTTCCAGAGATATTCGAGGATCACTCCGGCGATCGGGAACCAGAGAAAGCAAAGCTCGAAGAACGCCTCGTACAGAGTGAAGTGATTCTCTGGAGGCTTGTCGGCTGGGTCGCTCTTCTCTGGAACGACAAACTCCACTGCCTCGGATATCCCGAAGCGATGCCTCAACGCCTCGATCGACTCAAGGGAGCAAAGCATAGAGCCAGGCGGGTCAGGCTTTTGTCTCTTAACTCGTGGCCCTCGCCTAGATGTGGAAGCGCCTCGGGACGCCATGAGACCTTCCAATTCACGCTTCGCCTCGAATAGGTCAAAGGGAAATGCCTCCTCCTCGGCTTTGACTGCGGCGCGATTAATATCTTCATCAGGAACGGGATCCTGGGGATGGGTCGTTGAAACCGACGGCTCGTCATCTGTAGAGCCGACATCTGATGGATTTGCATGATTTGATGCCTCGTCAGATGAACGATTGGAAGGGCTCGGTGAAACAGACGCCTCAGAGGATTCTGTTGTACCTCTCGCCTCGGCATCTACACGGCTCGGCTCGTAGTGAAAGAGTGAATCCAGCAAATCGTCGGAGCGGCTCGACATAATTTACAGCTTATACAGGAATTGCAGCACGACTCGGCGAACCTCCGCCGGAAAAAGATCTGGAACGGCGGAGACCTCGGAAACCCTAGCCGGAAAATAAATAAACTAGAGAGAGAAAGAAGAGAGAATGGAGAGCTACCTTTAGTGAAAACGAGTGAGTCTGAAGATAATGAGGAAGAATGAAGGAGCTTCACCTACTTATAGGAAAACCGAAGCGCGTGAATTCCGTGTAAACCTCAGGAAACCGTCCAACAGCGCGTGGGATCCGCGGTGAATTAGCTAGCCCGAACTGCGCCGGTGGCACGCGCCAATAGATCAGGAATTTTCTCTCGGAAGACCAACAGTTGGGATACCCAAGTTTTCAGCCGATATCTTACCAAAGTAAACGCCTCGTCGTTAACGAAACGGCTCAGCACTAACTCTCTCTTGAAACGCCTCGTCGTTAACGAAACGGCTCGGCATTAACTCTCTCTTGAAGTGCCTCGTCGTTAACGAAACGGCTTGGCATTAACTCTCTCTTAAAACGCCTCGCCGTTAATGAAACGGCTCGGTATTAACTCTCTCTTGAAACGCCTCGTCGTTAACAAAACGGCTCGGCACCAACTTTCTCTCGAAACGCCTCGCCGTTTATTCGGCTCGACAGAACCTTCTCAAAACGCCTCATCACGGCTCACCACTACTAAACAGAATCGCCTCGTCCTTAACTTTCCTCTGCATCCTCAGCACCTTCTTGAAACGCCTCGGCATCCTCGGCACTCCTTGGGAACGCCTCGTCATCTTTGGGCTTAAGTCGTAACAACTTGACTCGATGGTTTATCCTACAGTCAGGAGTAATGGACCTCGTCATTCTCGCCTCTGAAACTGACGAGCTGGGGGGATAACTGTTGGGGTCGGTTTTCACCCCAAGTGGATAAAACCATCTCGAAATGACTAAGTATGGAAGAAAGACAAATTAGCCGAGCTGCGCTCACCAAGATAAGTGGGAGAGCCGTGGAGAAAGGCAGATGGGCCGAGCCGTGAATAAGGAAAGATGGGCCACGCCGTGCAAAGATGGGCCGAGCCGTGAAGAGGAACAAGTAGGCCGAGCCGCGGAAAGGATGCCCAGTGGGCCGAGCTGTGCAAGGAAGCAGGTGGAACGAGCTGTATCGTGAGAAATGGGCCGAGACGCATTTCAACATGCTTGGGCCGAGCCGCGCCTCGGTGAGGTGAACCAAATCACGTCACGATTCGAATGGTAAGTGGGTCGAGCCGTGGAGAAGTTTTGATGGGCCGAGCCTAGGCCTTGAAAGATGAAGCCCATAGAAACCCTAGGTGAAATACAAAGGCGGTGAGCCGCACGAGGCGATAAGGAAATATTCCGAAAATCTCTCCCGAAATTCTCGGCTAGGCGGTTCAGAGAATTAGTATAAATAGAAGATGTATACAATTCATTCTGTAACTTTGGCAACCCTAAGCAATAAGAACTAAACACTTTTACAGCAAGAAAAACTTTCTTTCGATCTTACTGTTCTTGACGATAAACCCTAAAAGTTTCCGATCCCTTAGTTTTCCTTAAACAAATTTTTGGTTGTGCGAGTTTTGGCTCACACAGTATTTGTATTTTCTGGGTTTAGCAGGATAAGTGGACAACAAAGTACAACTAAGTGTTTTAAAATTTGGCGAATGAATTGGACAAGTGGACAACAAAGTACAACTAAGTGTTTTAAAATTTGGCGAATGAATTGGACAAGTGGACAACAAAGTACAACTAAGTGTTTAGGGATTTGGCGAATAAATTGGACAAGTGGACAACAAAGTACAACTAAGTGTTTTAAAATTTGGCGAATGAATTGGACAAGTGGATAACAAGGTACAACTAAGTGTTAATTTTGAAAAGTCAAAATTCTGGTGTACCTAACGAATTGAACCAAAAAAAACATAAAAAAGACATAGTTAACCTTTACAATATATAAGAGACCAATAATACTGATAATGGATAAGTACAAATTGGTTTAGTGAAAATATGTTGGGATTCCCATCAACAACCTCATATGCTACATGTAACTCTTTCATAACAGAACCATCTTACAATGGCTAAAACACAATTTAAATGATTTTGGGCTAATTTTATTGTTATCTACTAGTAAATCATTAATATAAGTAAACACGTAATAGGTTAGCTACGATAAATAGATTTACCCCCATGGACAATTGGAATAACCGAAATGGACAACTATGAGCAAATTTGGACAACATGACAAATGGGTGCAACTATTTAATGAGACTTACAACACGTGGTCGATTAAATTGGCGGCGCCGACACATGTGTTAAATAAATATATATTAATACTTTTCCAGGGGAGATTCCGAAACTCAGCGTTTTGTTTACTGAACTCTTTATAAAAGAAAGCTCCCCTGAAAAGAGGAAAGAGAATTTCAGAAAAAAAATTTCCCCCAACTCGAAAATTAGGGTTCACCCGCCGCTATGCCTAGCTACAGTTCAGATTCTTCCGAATCGAAACACTCATGGGACAGCTCATACTACCGGTGTTATGGTGAAGATGGTATGCGAGAAACGTGCTGGTGTGGTCGCCTCATGGTTATCAAAGATTCAAAGTCCGTAGCCACAAAAGGAAAGAAAATGTACACTTGCCCAAATTGGCCAGTTGAGGTAATAAATTTGGAATTCTGGGTTTAGGGTATAGTTCGAAACGTCCAGTTACTTGAATTGGTTCACATTTTGTTTTAATTATCGCGATTTCTAGCTAAGGGTTTCAGAAAATCTGATTAATTCAATTTCGGGCATTTGTTCTTAAGGGACCTAATCGCAATCATGACCACATTTGGAAGTGGTGGGAAGATGCTGTTCAAGAAGAGCTATCAATGCTGAAACTTCGAGTTGATAATGTCAATTCTGGGATGAAGAGCATGCAAAACATGGGTGTTGTCAGAAACTGCATTCACGAGAATAGCTCCTTTGACACACATGAATCCGAAATTAGGCAACTCAGAGAGATTATGGCTGGGATGGAAAGAGAGCTGGGAAAATTGAAGGAGTTGATTGCAAACAGGGGTGATGGATATGTGATAATCGCCTTTTTCATGGTGTTTGCTATGGTTTCATTTATTTTTAAGTAACAACTATGTATTTTGAATTTGATTTCCTCATTTTAAGTTTTGTTGTTGTCTCGTGTTGTCCGTTTTTAAAAAATTCTATATGAAATAAAATTATAATTATTGTCCCAGTTATCCTATATGTTACCGATAACTGATAATTATTGTCCCAGTTGTCCTATATGTTACCGATAACTGATAATTATTGTCCCAATTGTCCTATATGTTGCCGATAACTAATACATTGATACCTACACATGTAAACAGTTGTCCCAGTTGTCCATACACAAACCCATAAATATCCAACAAACAAGCAATATCCAACAAACAAACAATATCCAACAAACAAACAATATCCAAAAGCATAAGTTATCAAATAAACATAAGTTCATAAGAGCATAAGTTATCCGAAAACCATAAATAACCCCACATATTGTTCACCCTTCTTCTCACTTCTTCTTCTTAGCAGGTCTCTCTTCAGTAAAAGGGGATGACACATGTTTCGATGGTACCTGGGTTCTCTTAGGGCGTGGTCGGAGCTCGCGTGGTTGCGGTTTATTCTTATATCCTTTCTTCGTCCTCTTAAATGGTCCTTTGCCAGGTTCGTATATGGCTGCTCTCCTTGATTCTCTCTCCTCTTCCATTGTCGGTGAGGAGGAGCCTGGTGCAAGTGAGGATGAACCTGCTGCGTATAAGGAGGGACCTGGTGCAAGAGGTGTGGTGGCAACAACTGGAGGATCTGGTACAAGTGGAGAGTGCTCTGAGGCTGGTGGCGCTGCCGACTGCACTCGGACTGATGATCGTGTTGGTGCTGGCGAGTCCACTGGTGATCGTGTTGGTGCTGGCGAGTCCACTGGTAATCGTGTTGGTGCTGGCGAATGCACTGGTGAGCATGGATGTGCTGTATCGGAGACTCGTCCTGATGGAGGTACCATCCCCTCAAGAGTTTTCAATCTTCTATCCATGCCTTCTACCTTCTCTACAATCTCCTCTTGCTTCTTCTCCATTGACGCCTTCAGCTCCACCAATGACGTCTTCAGCTCCACCAATGACGCCTTCAGCTGAGCCACTGATATGGGCTCATCTTCCCTTGGTTCTATAGCAGGGAATTGACCCCGAGAAGCAATATCAGCCATACAGCTCTCTCCAAACAATCTTTTTCTTCTTCTTGGTTAAGTGATCCGTCCAGCCCTCGACGATTATGTCAATATATCTGATACCATCATCGAATCCAGGATCTGCGATCTCCGCCAATAGCTCTTCTTCATCCGAGTCAGCCTCCAAAATGCTACTAATGTCCTGATAATATCAACAAATACCACTTATTACATTTCTTCACCAACCATGTTTAATATCAAGCTCATATCAATAATCAAAAATCACTGACCTCAGCACTAGTGCCAATAGCTTGGTTGATGTCATCCAAAAGAATACCTCTCATGGCTACATCACTAAACCTATGCTTGCAAATCCTTGGACAGTTAGGCTCAGCATGGACAACTTCACGAAACCTCTTTCCCAGACTTGGAATGCACTCAAACGCAAGAATCTACAAAGTCAAAACATAAATCAATCTAAATATTTGTCTCCGTTGTCCTAGTTGTCCACAGACCAAATTAAATTACAACTAAATAGTTGTCCAAGTTGTCCGAGTTGTCCACAGACCAAATTAAATTACAACTAACTAGTTGTCCCAGTTGTCCATCGACCTAACATATAACGAATCCACATAGTTGTCCATGTTGTCCATCGAAAAGTTGTCCTATTTGTCCACATACCAAACAGATAATCTATTAACAAAGACATACCTGTAGAGGAAGAATGAAACCAGAGATTGTGCATTCAGCTCCTTTAGGCTTTACGCTGCCATTGAACTTGGTGACCACACGCTTGATCTCCCTTATAGTCTTGTCAAACGTGCAACGCCCCCAAGGAAACGTTCTGCACAGCTTCAGATCTCCGGCTGCTGCGAGCAAGAATGAGTCAATGTTTCCGTCAAGCTTTGACTTCGCCTTCAATACTTTGCATAGAAACAAAAGTAGTGCCATCCTCTTCCTGTCCAAAGAGGGTTCCTTCATTTCTGCTAGCTTTGCTTCCACTTCTCCGATCTTGATTTTGTCACCCCTGCCAAACTGCTTTTTTACAAAGTTCATCTTACCCAACTTCTTATAATTCGCAGGGTAGTCATGGCATTCAAGACCACATAGCAGTGCATGCTCCCTCAAAGAGTATCGAATAGGCGCTCCAATTACCACAAACCACGCCTCATTTTGCTTCTCAGTATAAGCTGTGTGAAGAAGAAGCATCCACAACCCTTGATTCATATGATTTGGCTCCTTATACATATGAAACAGGTGCTTGAATTGCGGATGCGATTTGAACCACTCCAACTCTTCAGGCAGCTCCCCGATCACATCAAGGGTACTCTTAACTGCACATCTTGTAATTATCTTACACGCCTTGCTATATTCGGTTGGACCGAAATAAAGCTTCTCAGGCCCCATTGGCATCATTTCATCATCGGCATCCTGAAATTCAGAAGAGTAACACAATGTTATATAAATTATTTGAACTTGTCCCAGTTGTCCAAGTACCTTATCCTATATACAAACTAACTTGTCCCAGTTGTCCACATACCAGATATTTCATAATCAACATAGTTGTCCCTACTTATCCTATGACCAAAAAAACAAGTTTCTACATATTTGTCCTAGTTGTCCCCATACCAAACATCTTAAACACACATACCTCTTGTAAATTGTCCTCTCGCATTTCTTCTTCCGCTTCAGCATTATCATCTTCCTCTTGGTTCTCTTCCACACCTTCCATCTCTTCCTCTTGGTTCTCCAGATCCGCTTCCTCTCCCACTCCTTCCTCCTCTTCCTCTTGGTTCTCTTCCAATCCTTCCGCCTCTTCCTCTTCATTCTCGTTCTCTTCCTCTCCTTCCGCCTCTTCATTTTCGTTCTCGTTCTCTTCCACTCCATCCGCCTCTTCCTCTTCGTTCTCCTTCTCTTCCTCTCCTTCAGCCTCTTCCTCTTCGTTCTCCTTCTCTTCCACTCCATCCGCCTCTTCCTCTTCGTTCTCCTTCTCTTCCTCTTCAGCCTCTTCCTCTTCATTCTCCTTTTCTTCCACTTGCACTTCTTCCTCTTTGTTTTCATTCGCCGTGGCTGTGCTTGGTTCGTCGTTCTCGAATCCAGGATGGTTCTCGTTTGGATTTTCTTCGATTTCAGCCAGGTTTCCTTCCCTTTCTGCCGCCGGACTTTTAGGTTTCCCGACTTCAGGTTCTTCGATTTCCGGCGGATTTCCTTCCACCGGATTCTTAGGGCTCTCGTTTTCTGGGCTGTGCTCGGTTTCAGCCGGCTTTCCTTCTGCCGTTGTTTCGGTCTCCTTGTTTTCGCTTCCGGGCGGGTTTTCGGCATCCGCCGCTAAAGCACTGTCATACACCTTGCCCTTATTTCTCACCTTCGCCATAGATTCGGGATTCTCAGTCGCGATTTCCGATTTTCGCTTCACTACAAAAGGCGAAGAACGGGGGGAAGTTGAGAAAGCACAATTAAAGGGAAGAAAGGGGAAGTTAGAAAAGTGAAGATCTTGGAGTAGCAAAAGTAACCGATTCAAAGGAGTGGGAAGTTGAAGAAAGTTCGAAAAAAGGAGTATGAGACGATTTTTGAAAGAAAATAAGAGAGAATAAAAGAAAACGGTTTTTCATAAAATGAAAATTCGAAATATCAAAAAAAAATCTAATGGATCGGTTCTCGGATAAACGGGTCATTATTTGGGTTTGACCCAGGTTTTGTTGTAAATAAATCGAACTTTAAAGGATTGATTTGGATTTTACAGGATTTCGATATTAAAAAGAAAATCAAAAATAATATACAATTTTCCTTATGGCTTTTTAGCCATTTTTTTTTCACTTATGGCATCTTGGCCTCGCACTCAAGCAGAAAGCGTATAATTCCTGAAATTCTATTTCTCGGTTTTGTTTTTTTTCTTGGAAAAGTGATTACCGGTTCATCTTATACCAAACCAATATTTGCATTTGTTTATCTTTTACAAAACCAATTCCATTTTTTCGGGTCGCCATTGACAGGCATTTTTTTCCTTGCCAATGATTAAATTATAATTATAATAGCAATATATATATATATATATATATATATATATATATATAATTCGTATAGCTCTGCTCTCTCCAATGGCAATTCGAAATGCGATCGATGGCAACAGTTATTTTTTGAACACATTGGAGAGCATTTGTCCGGCCACGACCTTCCGATTTGTAAGGTTTCGACGTGCCGGTTTCTGTCCGCGGCCCACGTTCTCTAGATTAGTTGATCTGCATGCAGACCACATTCTCTTGCGGTTTTTTCCCTCATCCATCACTTCTCCACATTCGAAAACTGCCGTGGCCAGATCTCTATTTATTGGGGTGGAACCTCTTCCTTTCCATCCATCCCCTGATCATAACAACAACAATGAGTGATAATCTCCGCCAAAGAATGCAAAACATTAATCTAGGAATCAGTGACGAACCGGTGGTTTTGCCTCCGGTGATCCAAAATCATGCGGTGGCTTCAAATCAATTCTCCCTTGTGGTGGTCCCTCTCAACCCAAAGAAGCAGAATTTGCGTGCGATGATCTCTCAAATGCCACGGCTCTGGGGCATGGAAACAGCGACAACAGGTCGAATCATTGGGCATAACAAACTCCAATTCCTGTTTCACTCTGAGGAATCAATGAACATGGTTCTCAGGCGATCTCCTTGGTCTTTCGCCGATTGGATGGTTACTGTGCATCGTTGGTCCCCAAACATTCCTGAAGATGCTTCCAAGGTTATTCCTTTTTGGATGCAAATCAGAGGAATTCCCTTGCAGTTCCTATCTAATCCGACTATCACCTTCATCGGTGGTCTCTATGGTGAGGTGGTAAGCGTTGATTTCGACGAGAACTCCACTCGTGTTGACTTTGTTCGTGTGAAATTTCTGTGGCACATCGACAATCCTCTACGATTCCAGAGGAAATTTCAGTTCGAGACTGGTGTCAACACCATTCTCAAATTCAAAAACGAACGTCTGCGCAACTTCTGCAAGCGATGCGGGTTGCTGTCTCACGAGAAAAAAGATTTCCCACTTTCAACTGGAAGAAGGTGATGACTTCTCCAATTCAGATGGAGAAGACGACAACCATGGGGACGATGATCCGGTTCAGGATAATGTGGATACATATGTCTCGGTTACAAGACCATCTGGTACAAATGTTGGTATCTCTGCTCATTTACCTGTCAATGCTGTTCCGTCTGTTGTTATTGCAGATCAAACCCCAAATGTGAATGAAGAAAGGCATGAGATCCGTGTTGAGGAAATACGGCTCCGAGAAATCATATACAAGAGAGGAAAGTTCCGTGAAGATGAACTCCTGGCAAATCAAGAAGATGATAATCGTGAAAACTCAGGATTCAACAAACGGAAGAGACTTGAGATTGAGTAGATGCTGCGGTCTCCTTACCAGATTGATCAAGCGGAGTTGTGCTTGGTCAAGAATAGAGTTGCTGATGATACTGAATCACAGGACTCAATCTCGGTGAACCCAAGAATAGACAGAGGCGCGGGGGGGGGGGGGGTACCCCCATTGTTTCCATCATGAAGATATGCTCCTGGAACTGTAGGGGTTTGGGGGGATCGCTTACTGAACAACGTTTGAAAGAGTTATGTAGAAAGTTTGCTCCAGATGTTTTATTTCTTGTAGAAACTATGAATAGTTCTGATGTTGGTGTCTCTTCAGGTTATCCTAGTGTCATATGCATCCCTCCTCTGGGTCGAAGTGGAGGTTTGTCTATTTGGTGGAAGCATGATGTTTCTGTTCAAAGTCTTTATGAAGATGTTCAGTTAATTGATTTGCTTGTCAGTTTCAATGGAGTGAAGTTTTATTTGTCTTGTGTATATGGGCACCCAGTTCAGAAACACCGACATGAACTATGGGAGAGGATTGAAAGGATTGGAACTCAAAGAGATGATCCTTGGATTCTAGTTTGGGATTTTAACGAGATTTTGGGAAATGAAGAGAAGATTGGTGGTCCGATCCGTGAAGAATGGAGTTTTCGGAATTTTTGAAATATGTATCATTCATGTGACCTGCAGGATCTTAGACACAAAGGGGATAAGTTTTCCTGGGTTGCAAAGCGTCACACTCATACCGTTAAAGAATGTCTCGACAGAGTGGTTGTCAACTCGCAATGGCTTTCTAAATTCCCTGCTTCAGAGGCTGAATTCCTTGGTCTTTATGGCTCTGACCATCGACCAATTATAACTCATGTTGCTGTTATTGCTAACTGCAGACATAAAAGATTTCATTTTGATAAACGGTAGCTGCAAAGAGAAGACTTCAAGGATTATGTTTCCCGAGGGTGGAACTCCAGGAATCTACCGTGGAACTTTTCCATCACAGATCAAATTCGTGACTGCAGAAGATCAATAGCTTTATATCGCGTCATTACAACTTAAACTCAGCTAAGAAGATCGATACTCTCCAGATTGACTTGGAAAAGGCTCTAACCTCAGCAGGGCCCCTTCGTCAATCTATTCCAGTCATTCAAAAACAGTTGGTTTCTGCTTATAGAGAAGAAGAGACATATTGGAAGCTCAAAAGTAGGAATTCTTGGTTAAAAGATGGTGACAGAAACACCAAGTATTTTCAAGCCTGTACTAAAGGTAGATTTGCTAGGAATAGAATTCACCGTGTTCAAGATGACAATGGTAATGTTTTCTGTGGGGACAAGGAGATTGGTATTCATGCAGAAGCTTATTTCAAAGGAATCTATACAAGCAATGGTCATCAGGTCAACCCAGCGATCTTTACTGGTTTTAAACGATCGGTTACTGATGAGATTAATGAACGACTAACCAGGGAGTTCACAAGTCAAGAGATTCACGATGCAGTATGTTCAATTGGTGCTGATAAAAGGCCTGGTCCGGATGGTTTTACAGCAAGGTTCTATCAAGAATGCTGGGATATTGTAGGTGAAGATGTTATCAGTGAAGTTCGAAGATTCTTTAGTACATGTGTGATGAAACCAGGAATAAATCATACAAATATCTGTATGATCCCGAAGATTGAGAAACCAACATCTTTGTCTGAATATAGACCAATTGGTCTTTGTAACGTTTTGTATAAAATCATCTCAAAGGTGTTGGTTTTTCGCTTGAAGGGCTTTCTGAATCAAATTGTATCAGAAGAACAGGCTGCTTTCATTTCAGGACGTATGATTTCTGACAATGTGTTAGTAGCTAACGAATTGATGCATTTCTTAAAGTCAAGGAAAAGAGTCTCTCAGACTTATATGGCCGTCAAAACAGATATAAGCAAAGCTTATGATCGTGTTGAATGAGATTTTTTGGAGGCAACAATGAAGGCTTTTGGTTTTGCTGACAAATGGAACCAATGGATTATGGCAACAGTTAGATCAGTCAGCTATTCAGTTCTGATCAATGGAAATCCTCAGGGAATGATTTTTCCGGGAAGAGGTATTAGACAAGGTGATCCTTTGTCTCCTTACTTATTTATTCTTTGTGCCGATGTCTTAAGTCATTTGATCAAATCGAGAGCTCTGTCTGGAAATATTCGAGGCATCAAGATTGGGAATGGAGTTCCTCCTTTAACACACCTTCTATTTGCGGATGACTAACTTTTCTTCTTGCAAGCGAACAATAAGAACTGTCGGGCACTGAAGGAAATCTTCTATCTCTATGAACGTTGCTCAGGTCAGCTGATCAATGCCAACAAATCAATGATTACCTTTGGTTCTCGGATTCCAGGTAATCTACAAATCAGGTTAAAAGGCATTCTTGGTATTCAGAACCAAGGTGGGGGTGGAAAATACTTAGGTTTGCCTGAACAATTTGGGAGAAAGAAGTCAGAGATGTTCAAATATATAACTGACGCGGTGAAGAAGAGAACTTCCTCTTGGAGCTCTAAACTTCTCTCCCCTGCCGGGAAAGAGATAATGCTAAAATCAGTGGCTCTGTTGATGCCTGTATATTCAATGTCGTGTTTTAAAATCCCAACAACAGTGGTGAATGAAATTACCAGCATTCTATCAAGGTTTTGGAGGGAGAAAAATCAAGATACTTGGGGAATACCTTGGGTGGCGTGGAAAAAGATGCAACTCCCCAAAAAAGAAGGAGGTTTGGGGTTCCGAGACTTGGAGAAGTTCAATGATGCCCTTTTAGCAAAACAGGATTGGCGCCTCTTCAAATATCCGGACACACTGTTTGCAAGACTGTTCAAGGCGAAATACTATCGTGAGGACAGTATTTGAATGCAAAATTTCAGAAAAACCAATCCTATGGTTGGTCTTCTATCTTTGTTGGTCTTAAACTTCTTAAGAAAGGAGTTAGATTCAATGTGGGTTCAGGATCACAAATCAGGGTTTTCTCTGATAATTGGATACCTTCTGACCCACTAAGACCGGCAAGAGGTTTGTCTTCTTCTCCTATGCTTGTGAGTGATCTTATCAGTTCTACTTTCAATATGAGGAGTTGGAATGATAATGTGATAGACAACCATCTTGAAGTGGAAGACAGAGCTCTTGCAAAATCTCTTTTTCTTTCCCAGCAAGTAGAGAATGACAAGGTTTTTTGGCATTACACTAAAAATGGGGAATACTCTGTGCGGTCTGGTTATTATCTTGCTCTGAGATTAGAAGATCAAGGCGCATCTACTTTGTCTCCTCCTTATGGTGACCCTGTCCTCAAGTCCAAAATTTGGAAACTCCCCATTTTACCAAAGCTTAAACACTTTTTATGGAGGATAGTATCAAAGGCCATTGGGACAGCCTCACGACTTCGGACTCGAGGCATTGGGATGGACCCTACGTGTCAAAGGTGTTGTCGAGTTGAGGAGACCATCAATCATCTCTTCTTTGAATGTCCTGTTTCAAAATTGGTATGGAGATTAGCTAATCTTCCTTCTACGAGTCTTTATCAACCTTCCTTGGATTGTGTGGATATTATCAGAAATATGGTTGATATTCAAGCTTCATAAGGAATCTCAGATCACCACAAATGTCTGCCTTTTTGGATACTATGGAGGATTTGGAAATCTAGAAACAATCTCATATCTATGAAGCACGGGTACGGCAGTTTGTAGACGTCTCACGTCTCCGAAACGTTTCGGGGACGGGTACTGATTGGGGACAGCTCGGAAACGTTTCTCTAAGGTTTCTAGGAATTTGGGAAGGGTTATATTAATATAAAATTTTTCCTAGTATATATTAATGATCAAGAGTGGTTATTTCCCTTAGTAGTATAGTATTTATGGATTTAGGAAATGATAAAACTCTCTTGAAGTATTAGAAAAAAAAATTTAGCTCAAATGTATGTGTATTATTTTGTTATATACATATATATTTGACGTATCCATACCGTACCCGTATCTATAAATTTTTAATTTGCCGTTTCCGTCCCCGTTCCCGTCCTAGTTTCCCGACCCTGTACCCGTCTCAGTGCAGCATAGTCTCATATTCAATAAGCAGATCCCAAACCTTTCCAAGGAAGTTTCCCTCGCAAATACTGAAGTTAAAGAATGGTTAGATGTTGCCTACCCCTCGGTATCGAACACTTTGCAAAATTCCACTATTGTCGGAACAGATCTCTCTCCTACGCACTGGTCACGTCCTCCTCCCGGTTATCTAAAATGCAATGTTGATGCGGCATTTGACCAAGCTTCAAAGATAACTTCAGCGGGATGGATTAGCTCGATTGGGGTTATCCTCATCTCCTCTGGAAGCTGAAGGTAAAGCTCTATTGGTGGCCATTCAAAACACATTCGTAATGGGCTTCCGGTCGGTTATATTTGAAGGTGATTGCCAATCTCTCACAAGAAACCTCACTCATCATGAAATAGATTTTGAAATCTATAATCTATGTCGGGAAATTAAACAATGGGGTGATAAGTTCAACCGAGTGGAGTTCAAAAACGTCAAAAGACACTGCAATGAGGTGGTCCATTGTCTAGCTAAACATGTTTTTCCCCCGTCTTTTTATTCCAGTTGTATTTTCCCTCCTTTATGGTTAGCTAATTGCCTATATACAGACTATGTAAGTTCGAATATTTAATATAATTCAGTTTCAGTCGAAAAAAACAAAATTAAAAAAACTCAGAGTTGGTATAATACATAAACCCGGAAGAGTTTTTTTTCCTCAATCTCTTCTCTCATCTCTATCTTTGAGAAAGAGAAAGAGCACACTTTTTCTCTCTAATTTTTTTTTGTAAATTCCGATCAATTAATCGGTTTTCTTTTCCATTTTTATCGGATAATAAATTTTCAATTTAGTTTTGGATTTTCTCTTCCGACTAAATCTGGATCTCCACCTTTTGCAATCTCTTCGCCGGCTGTTTTACTTCTTTTATTGGAATTATCGGTTTTTCTTTTGAAATTTATTGTAGATTTCATCTCTTACTTGGAGTAATATCTTCGCTTGATTTTTCCT